CAGTATGAATGTAGGGAAGGTGTTGCTAAACTTCCTGTCATCACATCTTAGAACCTCTTTTTTATAGCTCCCAACATTTTCTCCACTTTCTGAGACCTCATAGAAAACTTCGTCAGAGCCATCAGGCCTTAACTAGTGGCTCCTCAAGGGCGTCTGTTGCTCTCCGTTCTTTGGTCCCAAGGCCACTCTCTCACATGCAGGGGCTGTTATGATAGCTCTCTAATCTGCATACCAGGATACACCCTAGTGGCTGTTGTACTAAACAAGCCACTGTACACCTTAGTAGGTTAAGTGGACGAGAGTCGTTTTTCCCCTCATGGGTCTGTTCATTGAATAAGGCTTGGCAGTGACACCCGTCTTCATACCACAGCAGCCACAAGAGCTCTAAGTGTGAGAGCCAATGTCACCTCCAGATTTGTTCACTTACATGTTGGGTTTGACAGTGACTCTCCCCTGTGCTCTTCACCAAGATTTCCTGCCAGAACACTTCCAGGAAATTCCCCTCATGCTTTAGGCCTCTTTACAACATAATGGCTTAACTCCAAGGGCAAGGAGGTGGGAAAGAAAGACACAGAGCTAGGGAGAAGCTCTATGACCTGTGCAAAAATAGTTCTAAAAGTCATTCAGTGTCACTTTCACTATGGCCTCCACGTTGATATAGTCACAATCCTGCCCAGGACAGGAGGAAGGGAAATGGCATTTACCTCTTGACAGAGTGGCAAATTCTGGAAGAGCAAGTTATATGGAAAGGTTGTTATGTCCTCTTTGCTGATTATTGTGCACCTCAGGGATCTACAGGCTTTCCTTGTGAAAATGAAGCATTAAGATCATCTTTGGAAAAGAAGGTAAAGTTGCATATAAATTGATGAGCAGCACAAAACATGTATTTATCACAGATGCTGAACAAAAATTATGCAAAACACAGACATTCATTCCACAACTTAATAATAAGGTCATTTAATCAAACCTAGGATGGGCTGAGCTCATTCATCTTGCATTTTTTTTAAAAAAGTGTATACACGGTATGATTCAGCCTATGTCTTTCCAGTGGAGCTCGCTCACAGAAGCAAGAAGCTGTGCAGAAGCAAGAGTCTGTGCCAGTTGGAGATGATTGAGGCTTGGTGTGTTAAATGAGATGTTAAAGCCCTGCAATACTTTTCCCACAGAAAGGATTTTTAAACACATAAATCTTTCTGGCATGGAAGAGAAAAATTATCTATGACTTTGTGGATGAAGATCAGGTGGATGTGGCTCTGGGCCTCCACTTGACATAACACACATCATCAGGATGCACTGACACACATCTGCATTCTGCTCCCTTCCCATGATCAGATTTTCAGTAACTAAGCACCCGTAGGAAGGGTTGCTATTCACAATACCTGGTGGATATTAACTAAAGCACAGTGGCCCAGCTCCAGCAGAACACATGTCTAATGACTACAGAGAGAGGAAACTAAAAATCAATCTGGTTCATATTATTCTGGACTCTGTCAAAGAAAGAGGAGACAGGCTTAGGATGGTTTTAAATGTAATGCAAAGTTGAACATCAGGATAATAGACAGAAAAAACTATTGAGGGACTGGCTCTATTCCTTTTCCAAATTTCCTTGCAAAAGCCAGTTTCTCATTTTGTAGACGTGGTCCATAGTGCTGTATATTTTCTTTCCATAATGAAAACACCATTGTCAGTAGTACTGTCTTCCCCATTAAAGGGTATGTATATTATGGCTCTTGTCTGGGTGATTTCTGAAGGTCTAATGCAGTTATAGTGGGTCTTCTAGGAAGTGGCTAGATCTAGGATGTATGGTGCTGGGACTAAGTGTGTGATTCTAGGATTAAGAATGTCATGCTGGGATTAAGGATGAACAATTACTAAATCAATCCACTGATTGCTTTAGCATAGTCCTTGGTATGGGTAATAGGAAGATCCAACCTGGGTGTGAGTGACACCACCATGAAGGTGAGTAACCCAGAATGGATAAAAGGGAGAAAGGAGAGGCAGACCACCACCATCATTGTCCCTGCTGCAGCATGCTGCTGCTGCTGCTGCTGCTGCTGTTGCCGTCTCCCTGCTCTTGTGCTACCTTCTGCACTGCCATGGAGCCAGCTAATTAAGGACTGAAACATTCATAAACTGTGAGCTGAAGTAAGCCTTTTACTTTTCACTTTAAGTGTTGGATGTTTTTGTCTCAGCAATGAGAAAAATAACTAAGGAAGAGTAACAGTCACTCCACTGGCACAATTGTCTCCTTATGATTCTTCGGCCCAAATGATGGTCACCATCAGAATGGAGAAGCAGCAAACATGGAATACTCATTCTATAGAAAGCTCAGCAGACTCCAGTGATACGAATGGTGCCCAGGATATCAGATCCCCAGGGTCATCCTCTACAATTTTGGCGGAAGATCAGGGGGGCATCACACTGCAGGCACCCCAATGAGATTAAGAATGTTAATCTTAATCAAATGGGAAAGGATCATCCTTCTTACTCAGTCCTGACTCCACCATAGACTCAAAAGTTTAGCTTTTCATATATTAAGCGAAGAGGTTGGTTTTCACAGTCTCTGAACCACTTCCCAGCTCCAGTGTTCTCCTGCAACTTTTCCTGCATGATCCCAATCTTGCCATGTGGAGCGGCCATGAGCTTTTGCCCAGGCTTGCAAGTAGGTGAATATCTGTCCATGGTGCTGAACAGAGAGCTGTCTTTCATATTGTACTGCATACAACTACTGTGATTAGAGATTTGGAGTTGAACATTAGACATAGACTGTTTATGAAATACTCAGGTGAGTGGACTAAGATTACAGTCATTCAAGGAGAACTAAAAGGCACAGCTGAATATAGAGTAGAGGGGGTGGCTTCACACAATAGAATGTCTAAAACACTGCTCAGAAAAGAAGTGGACCCAAACATTGTGGGGCCTGACACATGCTTACTGTGGAAGACATGGGAATATTTCAAAGAAGGAGTACAACTAGCATAGGCTTTAGGAGATCTCATTGCTTTAATGTTGAATACTCAGTGAGATTATAGATGAAAGAGGTGGTCAGTTCTGCTATTTTATGCCTATTCTTTGTTCCTAACTTGCTTTTGATCTTTCAGAAGATGTCACTTACCTCTCAGCTTCTACTAGACTCACCTGTTAAATAAACTGTCTTTCTCACAGTATGAAGTTGTATGGAGTTAGTCACAGTGCTCCAGAGAAACAGCTCCAACAGAAGATTCTATATATGCATGTATGTGGATTTATTTGTGCAAATAGATTTGTTTATACAGAGAGGGATTTAGTAGGAGGAATGAGATGTCTCAGTAGAATAAGCACTTTTCTAGCAAGTGCAAGGGTCTGAGTTCAATCCCCAATTCCACCAAAAAAAAAAGTGGGTCCTCAGGAAGTCATCCATATTGCATTCTGCAAACTAGAGGTACAAGATAGCCTGTGGTATACTTTAAAGGCCTGAGAGCCAGGCAGCCCAGGTTGAAGTCTAAATGTGCAGTCATTAGAATGAGGAATGGTGAGGGCAGGAGACAAACTGCTTCAGCTCAAGTGGTCACGTAGAGTACAGTCACACTGTCCTTTGCTTTCTTTATCCAACTGGGTGCTCTGTGGGCTGGATGTGGTCACCCACATGGGGAAGGTCGTCTCTTACTCAGTCCTTCACCCCAGGTAGCTGTCTTCCAGACACCCTCAGAGTAACCCCTGATTATCTGAGGATCCCTAGGTTTGGTCAAATGGTCGTAAGTCTAGCATTAGCCACAACACTGGAAATTTTACATCTTTAAAGCAACTCTGACATATAAAATTCTTTGAAAGTGAGGTGGTAAAAAACAATTTTAAGGCTCTGTTTTACTAAATTGTTGCACTTCTCTAGAAACTCCAGTAGTAATTTAGATTAGCTCTGGTGCTTTTCAGGTACAAATGGAGACTCTCCAAGTCAGAGATTTTTGACTTTCAAAGCAACCAGAGGACTTAGGGATGGATTATTTGAAGCTAGAGCCACAGCAAGAACAGTAAAGGTAGAGACAACCTGCGGAGCCTCGCCTATTCACAGGAAATAATGAGCTACTCAGGTGCCACTCTGTGTAGTTAAAAAAACTTTTAAAAAAATGTTAGTTCAGTCACTATCTCTTCTCTCCATTCCACCTCCCTTCTCTAAATCAAGCCCCTGAACACCTCAGAGCTGCTGTACATGTTGGAGTCAAGATGGTTTCAAAGCACAGGCTTCTTCAGCTCCCAATCACATTTTAAAATAAAGCTGGAGCTTTCCATCCAACCCCACAAAGCTTCTTTGTATCCTGAATCTTCCTGTGTTTAAGCATTTGAATATCCAGTCTGGAGATACTGGGCCTCTGTCCATGGCTAATTTTGAACCTTTGGCCTCATTCTGTGACTCAGCCAAGTAGGGGAAGGATGACGGGCTTGGCAGGCTTGCATTTAAAGGACAATTGCTCTTTCTACACTGGACCTGGTGATAATTCAGTTGTCAAACACAGGACCTGAGCTCAGGAGCATGTACTGAGCATCCAGCACTGAGTTGCATTGTTAAGGAGGGCACCAAAGAACGTGAAGTAACTTTTATCCTTTTCATGCATATTAGAAACCTGTCCTGATGTATCTGTCCTCTGCCCCACTGATCACAGACTCTGATTTGGACTCTCTATCTCCCATGCTTTCTTTAGCTTCACTTTTCTCCCTTCCTAGCATTTCCTTTCTCTCATTTCCTTTCTCTTACTTCTCTAGAACACTGCAACTTCATCTTTGCCTTGATTCCAACTTTTTCTCCCAAACTCTTTGGATAGAGTCTCATGTAAGCCCCTTCCTGGCTCTATGCTATTGCCTGAAGTATACTGGAGGTTTTATGTTTGATAGTCTCTTTGATGTTAACCTTTTCTGTAGTAAGGCTCATTTTTTGGAGAAATCTCTGAAAACATAGCCAAAAACTAAGATCTCACAATAATTTGCTGCCATGAATCATAACAGGACAGGACCATAAGAAAGTAATTTTAGCTACCTGGCAGGGGAGGTACCATGGTACTGAAGGTGGTTTTCCCAGGGTGAAGCTCATCCATTGCACTCCAGACATGCTAACCCCTGCATTCTCCCCAAATGTGGGAAACTCGACTGCATCATTTGTGGCAGTGGGAGACTGTATTCATGCTTTCCCCTGGAAAAAAGAAAGTAATTTAGAATTATACATCAAGAAACAGTGAATTGGTCAAAGCCATTGACTTGAAATTCCACACAGAAGATGTTATCCTAAAAGTTGTTTCTCAATAGGTAACTATTATGTCACTAACATTGTTATGGGTTAGCCCTATCTGGCTCTACAAAAGCCTCCTGTGCTGGAAGGTGGAGGTTTGGGAGCATGAGTAGATCACGGGGGAGTTATACTTACCAGTGACCCTGACAGTCACCAGTGATGAGCTCTGAGCTGACTCTGTTAGGAGGTGGGGCCTGCTTCGGGCTGGTTCCTAGGATGTGCCCTGGAAGGGTACGTTCTTGTCCCTGGCTCCTTCCTTCTTTCTCTGCCTTCTGGCTGCCATAGTTGGCAGCTCTCCTCCAGCAGGACTTTCTAACATGTCATTTCTGCCTTTAAGTGATGGATAATGAGGATTTTATCCCAGTAATGGAGAAGCTCAAGGATACAAACAACCATGTCTAAATGTGACTAAAGTCCAAATAGCTCAGTGGTCTAAAGCGCTTGTTTAGGCAAGCTTAGGCAAGTGCAAGGACCATGGTTTGATCCCTGGCACCCAGAGTGGACTGAGAGGCCACAAAAATAAATAAATAAATAAATAAATAAAACTAAAGACATTTTTGAAATAGTCACTATAAGTGACTACTGAAATAGTCACTATAAGACAGCATGTAACACCCCCAAAAATTAATAAAACATTCAATGCTACCATTCAAACTTATGCAAATTTCTTGGAAAAAAACATCCTAAATTGTATATGTCTGAGAAAGATAGAGAAGTCATTCAGATGTATAAAAAACTGTGCTTCTACCCTCAAGATACAAAGCCAAACTATGAATAACTTGGTAGTTGTCCTGCTATACAAGAACTGATTTCCTAAGCACAGAAAGATACTGTTCCCATCAAAGCCCCTTCTCTCATCAGTAATGATTTTGTTTTTGAAATTATTTAAGAGTCTCTAACTTCCAGCTGTATAAAATGGTTACAGATGAAAGAAGAGTTTATGAGTTATGGAAACAGAAATATGTATAAGGGCTCAAAAATATTCCACTCATGTACACTTTCTGAAAAGGTTATTCTAGGATCCAAGGAACTGACTAATCCATGAATCAAATGCAAGAACTCAAGAAAGAATTTAAAATCTAATGGATTACAACTATCATGATATATGAACTGGTGTTGAAATATTGATATAATTATTATAAAGATAAGTGCAAAAGTAAAACAATCTGGGAAGTTATAGGTAGCAAAAATAATACTAGTTTATAACATTATTTTATGCTACAAAGTTCATGTAATGGTAAGCTGAGCTAAGCAGAGCTGTAGAAATCCTTAAGGATTATATTAATATGTTTCCCTATTATATATTAATGTGAATTAGTTAATATCAGAAGCATTAGAATTATGAAAACAAAGATACAAAAATACTTTGACAATTGAAGAATGTAAAATTCGCTTCTAAAAATAATGTAATTAATAAGATTTAATAGGGACTTAATTACTACAAACCAGACTTTAATCTATAAAATTAATCATGTTAACTTAATCACTAGAAAATTAATACATTTTCCCAAGTGTCTATGAAACATTTACAAAATTTGGCCAAACACCACTTTAAAAAGAATTCCAATAAATTACAAAGGATTATTGTCAAAAGTTCATTCCACATTACTTTTCTCTTGTCAAACTCTACAATCAGTCTATGCAAATAAAATCCTACTTATTCATTCACTTTCTAAATTCCATGGGAATATTTTGCTTTATTTCTATAAGCCCTGTTATTCTCAGCTTTTCTGGTTTAAGAGGTTTGGAGTATGGACACAGCTTTGTTAAAAAGAATACAGTAGAATGTCAGCTTTGACTTAGTGACTGGAAAGCTAGAAAAAGTGTGGCTCCCAACCTACTAAAAAGAAAGAATGAGTGGTCTCCAAAATCACAACTTTTCCTGAGCCCATCACAGTTTGCACTGCAGCAACCAACTCCTCTGAACTCTAAGAATAAACAGACACCTTTCAGCACATTCAGAATAAGAGCCCAGGCACACCTGGGGCCAAGCCCCGAACAGGTGTGACATTGTCATGAGAGTAAATAAGAAGAGTTCAAAAATAAAATTAAAGAAATTACATAAAGAGATTTCAATATTTGCCAAATGCCTACAAGCAGAATTAAGCCACTGTGAGAGCATCAAGTCATTGCCCTGTAAAGCATCTTCTTCACTGATCTCTCTGGGGGTCCATCAGAAAGAAGGGGAACAGGACACCAATCTCAAAAATGCCCCATGCTTCAGGATTGGGGGAAGGAGCAAGAAAGATCTCATAGGAGAAAGAGGAAAAGCCCTGAAACTTTCCCAGATCCTCATCTCCTCTGTAAAAATTAGCCTCAGTCTTCTAGGGAGGGCTGGCAAGTGCTGTCTTTCTCAGTGCATATGTGACAATTCACTGATACTAGAGCAAATACAGGAAAGCTCCCCACCTTTTAGGAAGTGCAGAAGCCATCTGGCCCCTGGCAGTAGAAATCCCCTGTCACTAGGGGAAGAGAAGGGCCATTAAGTCTATCCTTTACAGTGAGGGACACTGATCTTGCCTCAGCCTGAGGGCAAACCAAGACCACAGAGAATGCCCTTCTGGCTCTGCCATAATTTACTGCATAGAAAAATAAGACCATGGAGAGTGACCCTGGCTGAAGCACAGATTCACAGAGAAAACATAAAGCTGAAGGTGACAGAGGAACATTGGAAACCTCTCCCCACCAACCTAGTCTTCATCAGAATTGTGGGGCAACATTAGATGGGTCTAAAGACAGAATTTCACTGAGGGAGACTTCCGTAACCAAGTGCAAGTGCTGACTAGCTCAGCCCTCATCCAGATGGCCTCAACTCCCTGCACTTTCATCCGCCAGAATAAGTGTACTCAATTCCAGGTACATATGCTGTTTCAGGTTTGAGTACCCTGCACTGAATGTCTAGTTTTAACCCAAGTTTATAATGCAAAAAACAACCATAACACTGTCAAGAGGGACAGCAAACAGCAGAACTGAATACAGATCCAGGACTCATAATGACCATCAGATAAATAATCCAAAATAATCCTGATTAGTGTTAAAGGTGTTGTGGGAAAGAAGGAAAAGGTGCACAAATAAGCAGGAGAACCCAGCGGAGAGATGGAAACCATAAGGTATGATCAATGAAAATGATAAATTCATATTAATTCAGAGTGGGAATGATAAAAGACAGATGGCTCTCTACAGGCTTCTTGATAGCCTACACATAGCTAGGGAAGACTCAGATTTAAAAAAACTACCTAGATGGAAAAATGTAGAAGAAAAAGGAGTCATATGAGAGAGAGAGGGAGAGAGGAAGAGGAGGAGGAGGAGGATGAGAAGGAGAAGGAGGAGGAGGAGGA